GGAAACATTATCTTTGAACTTTAAATAGAACTTTAAATAAAACGGACAACTCATATGTGTATTCTGTAAGTTTCATTGTTGTCAATTCAAAAATAAATAAAACATAAAACGCGCAAATCTAATGTGGTATTATACAGTATTTTTACGTCAGACATTATCACCAGATAGTCTTGATTTTTTTGCCTTGCTTTGGAATTTATGTACTATACGTTTATTCAATTTCTTCTTCAATATCTGTAAATACATAGACTGCTTATTTTGTTCTTAGATTTTTATTATGATCATTTCAAAAATCAAATGAATATTCTGATATATTAATATATTTCATAGATATAAATACATGTCGCTACGTGCATTTATGTTTAATGTGGTTTCATTCAAGAATCACAGCCTTATTGTTTTCCAATTTCGTCCGCGGCTGCACAAAGCGCTTGCTAGTGAAAGTATAGAAACATTATCGTTGCAATATTGTTTCACAACATAACAAAATCAAACAGCGTTTGAACAATCTCGAGTAGCGCCCGATAACCAACCCTGGATCTGGATCGACCACGCTGAAAAACATTGACAATTACCATGTCGGTTATAAAAGAGGCTAGCTATTACAATTTCACTTAATACAGCGCCGGGCTTCTACGTTTCAGTTTGTTACAGTACCAGGCTTTAGAATATAGTTGAGCTGTCGTACAGTACTCAATATTGCCTATTAATGGATGCTTATGATTATCGTAATCTTAAAGTAAAGAGAAAAAATGCATCATTCTAATATTTAAAACAGCACATTCTTAGTGTGTTAAACAAGAAATGAACACTGTTAATCGAATGATTTTGTTTGTTTTAATGACACATGCTTTTGACTAATCTATCTGTGTTTATAGCATTTAAATGTGAAATTAAAGTATGTATGATAACCGAAACAAAAATGAAATGTTATGTTATCAGTTTTATTTTCTCAAAAAATGCTTGTCCAATATAAAATTATATTTTTGTTAATATACTGATTCTAATATGTATGATACATGATAGTTATTAGGAAAACGTTATGTATAAAGCAAAAAGAGAAGCAGTGTTTCATGCTTCAGGTTTATTTCCCCCAAAAAGGCTTGACTATTGAACTTTAAATTTAAATCTTATTTTTTATTCTACCAATAGAAGCATGCTCACACTGATGAGAGTTTGTTCACCACATTGATGGATACCATACTTCTCTAAGTATTATGTTGAGTAAATAATCATCGCGGGGAAAGTTAGTCAAACATTTTTTATTTGCCCGATAACAATCTCTCACCATAGAAAGAATATTGTTATAAATTATAAACTAATTTATATATTTTTGCTCACCACATTTAATTAAACCACAGACTTTTTTAGAAATTGTTGTGTAACACCACAGTCTGAAGTAGCCATGTGAAGCACGACATAAATTAGCTGTATCTGATATTGTTGCATCTGAGAGATTACTCGCATTTCATACTTGAAACTGATCCCACACGGTTTTTCGGTAACAGTCGTTGACTGTAGATGTGTTATGACAGTCTAGCACTACTCATAATTATTATTTATTCGAGAGGGGAAATCGGTCATACATTTTAGCAGAATTTCATTCCTATATAAAAAGGACAGTTATGCAAGATTTATAATGATAATAATTTATAATCTTGCACTAATTCAGATGTAGAAATGAACGTTACAATATCAGTTTAAGATCTGCTTTTCATTCATTGCTAACAATACAAATTAAGAGCCTCAATAATCATATGAGCGATATAAGACCCATCATGGTCCTCTTGTTAGTATCAACAAAGAACTATCTGATTTTATAAAACCCTGCCAATAAAAAATTATGAACAGAGAAATCATCACTCTCGATCTTGTAAAGTTATGTGCCTTATATTATTTAAAGGTTATTCCAATGTAAATTAACAAATTGACATGCCAGATAGTTATTCAATATTCAAAGTGAAAGTCGCACATTGATACATATATACGCGAGAGAAATGGCATAACGCTGTACTTTTTTTGTTTACTTTTTTGTTCTTCAGTTTTGAGTTTGGGCAATTTAACATATACTATTGTGATGTTTTCTTTTTAATCTAAATCACCTAGTTTGTGATCGGCGACGACTTTTAACAAGCAGAAACCATAATTGAACAAAATAGGACATGCCGCATTGCTTGATAGTTCTACGAAAAGGAAAAAGATTTACTTTAACTGGATGACAGATCGTAGTATGCTTAAGGCGAAATAGGTGAATTAGAAGTCAAACTAACCTTTGATGGACGTAAGCACTGTTGCTAATATGACAGAAAATATTGTGCACACATTACAAATTATCCTTGACATTTTAGAACTGGAAACATATATCATTGCTTATAACATCTAGTCAGTTTGATTCGATATGCATTATATTTCAAGGTTTCGATTGTATAACATCCATATCGCAAAATTGATAACTGCATTCAATCAATTACCTCACTCTTTATACATGCAAAAATATAGATATAATGTGTCACAAAGTTTTGCAGTGTTTCCGCTGACTATGTCATCAAGACCTTAAAAAAACTTCCTCAATGATTGTTTAGTTTTGTTTTCATTACATTCATTACTATAAATAAAGAAATTTCCACTGTATATATCACGACTTTTTTTTTATCGATTAAGGCAATCCTAGTTAGACATCATTGAAGTTCGTGCAGCACGACATTATTGTTGTTAGTGTGTGTTTGTGGTATATATATTTAGTTTCTTCAATTTCAACCTTTTCTAGTTGGGTGGTTCAAGTTTAAATTGAAAAAAAATCAGTTTTCAAGTCTCGTTGGTCCGTAATATGCGGTATAGGAATTCATCGTTTACTCGCTCGTACGAACCCTGGTCTCATGATCCTGCAGCAACCACGGTTCCCAGCGCGGACACTATTCCACTATTCTAGCGTTTTGCTTAAACTGTACATTTAACTTCTCAATGTATGCCGCTTGTCATTAAATATTTGCAAAATCGTGATTTTCACCTTAGTCGGCCAATACGTTGCTTGTCAGAAAAATCATATATATAATCAAACAATGTATCGCTATTTAGGGAAATATATACTGTCAGAAAAAACATACAGATCTGACAAGCAATATATAGTGTATATATTAACTAGTTAATTTTTCCCTACAGCGATACTTAGTTTGAGATACAGTCTTAAAATCATGTTTCAATGTACTGTAACAGTTATTTTTAAACCTGTTGCTACTCGTTTGAACTCTCTATACATGTAAATGTCAAATAGTGAATATGTTATAATTGAGAAGTTTATATCAGTTTAGGGAAGGCACATTTGTAGTGTGAAGCTTTTAATTTAGTGAAGCGAATAGTATTGTTTGGAAGGGAGTTTTGTTGTTTTGTTGGGGTTGGTTGAGTTTAATTGTGGTGATCTTAATTGATCGGGGTTCATTTGCTGTAATTAGTTGTTTTGGTTGTTGCATTTTGTTTGGTTGTTGAGTTATATCTGTTTGATAAGATATATTTGGTTGATATATGTTGAGTGGTTTTGTCTTGTCAAGATTATTTCATTTGGTGCTTTTATTTTGAAAATATATGTAAATATTTGTTACTTTGGTTTAAGTTGTTTCCTGATGCTGATTAGATTTTAGATTTTTGTGAAGAAATATTTCTTTTAATTGAATGTTTATGGTCTATACTAGAAAATAATTCATTATATGTGCTTTATATTGTGGCGATTTTATTGTCTTGTTTGATCATAAGCTTGGGCTCGCCAGGTGTTTAGTATTGTGTCGTATAAAAGACGTATACGTTAAAAAATAGTTTGTAAGTGGTCAATGCATGATGTGTCTTTGACTTACGTATACATAATTATCAGAGTTCTTTGGTTTTGGTAGCTTCCGGAACCTCGTTGGTTCTACTCAGGTGCCCGTTCGTGCCTCAAATAATTCAAGGAGGGGCACCTGAGGTCTTCCTCCACCAGTAAAGCTGAAACGTCGCCATATGACCTTTACAGTGTCAGTGTGACGTAAAACCAAATCAAACAAACAAACAAAATCTTTGTTTTTGGTGTAAACAATAATCTGAGTTTGTTATTTAAGTGCATATATTGATTTGAGATAGAAAGAGATACAAATTCCTAAAACAAGAGTGTTAACTAAACAATTACGTGCTAGTTTTCCAACCGAGAATATTTCACTTTTAGGTCAGGCGTTGCTGCTCTGGCTCTTTATCTTGTAAATCGGTTATTTCACTTTGTGTATTGTCTAAAGATGTAATGGATGCACTTACCTCGGCATCGACCGTAGAAGTAATAGTCTAGAGCTTTTGATGAGTGACAACGATATTGAAAATGCATAATAACATTGAATTAGAAACACAGACATTAGTCAATTATTAAGAAAATGGCGCCAAAAATGCAAAAAGGGCAGGCGTTTACATTAGGTTTAACGCTAATGTAAATGTCTTGAAACGAAATGCTTATCAATTAAAAAAAAATTAAAATGCCTAGTTATTTATTAGCTCCAGGGCTGCTGGTATGCATAACTATAGACACTGACTGACTATACAGCGAATAATATACAATATATATTTTTGCAATTGTACGCTAGTGAGAAAAGATTAATTAACTTTTATTTAATGTTTCATTGTAATGAAACACATATTGATTGCGCAATTTGAAGAAACTACGAACTTTCCGTTCACCCCTCGTAATGTGTTTTAGTTTATATTTCTATCACTGCTATTTCAAATAACAATGTTCTTTCATAATGGTTATGTTTTCATATGCTACCTTGATATGCTATGTATTTATAAACTGAAATATTTGCATCAGGGTTACCTCTTTTTTAACGTCCTTTAAAGTTGACTGAAACACATACCCTTTACTTAATGGAATATCGTATCTTGGTACCAAACAACTTGACAACCAACCACACGATATTTTAAAATCATTGTTTATTGAAATGTATACAATTATTCACTCTGCTTACTTAAAATGCTATATTTTTGCTTACTTGACAAGTATAAGTATGTGCTTTTATCACAGGTCGAGAAGATTATTTTAAGAGAATTTCAAAATGCAATTACAGATAACATTAATTTAGAAAGATAATAAAATGTGAGAAAAACGTTCTTGTAGCATCAAGTAAACTCATATCTAACAACATCATATACAAAATATATAAACAGAAGAATATGCAATGACATACTACAGCAAAAATAGGCAACCTGATTTAAACCACAAACAGTGAGACATCAAAAATGTCTAGTTATTTATGAGCTCCAGGGCTGCTGGTATGCATTACTATAGACACTGACTTACTATATAGCGAATAATATACAATATTTATTTTTGCAAATGTACGCTAGTGAGAAAAGATTAATAAACTTTTATTTAATGTTTCATTGTAATGAAACACATATTGATTGCGCTATTCGAAGAAACTACGAACTTTCCGTTCACCCCTCGCAATGTGTTTTAGTTTATATGGCAACCTTCTTTAAACCACAAACCCTGAGACATCAAAAATGTTTATATTAATTTTAATGACAAAACGTTTAGAACAGTCCTACTCGTTACCCATTTAAAGAGTGTCTGTATGTAAGATAAATAAAGAACGACAGCGATTGTAGTAGGTTTGCCGAAACATATATGTTAATAAAGTCAAGACTGCTATATTTTCAAACTGACTTTGAGTGTTAAAATTAGGGACTGTTTATTATAACGTTTAAGGATTTTTTATTTCAGAATACATGTTAACTGTCAGCAGTATAGAGCCTAAAAGTTAGGATGTGCAAGATTACCTGGCACTGCTAAATATTTTTGACTTTCCTATGACACGAACATTTTCTTATGTTTAATAAATTTCCCTGAAGAAATTTCAAGAAGCAAAGCTAACATTGATGCTCAAATGGCTTTTCTTCTAAAATAAAACAATTAAAAGTCATTACAACATTGATAAGATTCTAAAGCATGAAGTTAAGAGTCGGTCATATTTTAGTTAAAAGTTGTGATAGTAGTTCCTATAAAAAGAACCGGAGAATTTTTCTGTATTCTTTAAGATATGGCTTTGGAGGAGAATATTACAAACAATTCGTTCTGAATATCTCATATCCCGAAACTCGAAAACACACGTGCAGATTATAATGACATTAATAATTCACACATTAATAATTCACACTATGCTATTAACATTATTAACATATGTGTTAATTATAATTTAAAACCAACGAAGCAGTTCAATATTTCTTCATGGTGAAATTCTTTCTTGAAAAGAACTTGCATTGTCTTAATTAGAATTATTGGAAAGAGTTATAACTCAATATATTGCAAAACTGTTTTAACAACAATTAAACAAGTGTAATCGTGAAAGGCATTTAAGTTTTGACACTTTCTTAAATGTTTCGGATTAAATAGCAGATCTACATGTTTGTAAACATCAATGAGTCGTTTGAAGAATGGGCGAGTCACCCCTCTGAGGTTATCTCGTGTGTAAACTTTACGTTTGTTATTTAACAATGACTAAATGCAATGTTTATGAAATATATATAAATAAAATGTTTATTTTTACAAATATGAGCGAGTGCTTTTATGTATTTATGATTTAAGAAACTATACAATCGGCGATGAAATTTATTTTCATTAACTTGGCAATGTTCGACCAAATTTATCAGAATCTGGATAAAAACACAACCTTTTCTTAAAAGCAGTGACGGTATTAAACGATGTAAACTCTATACAACACAATAGGTAAACTCGATTGAATGCAGTGTCATATAAAACTGGTAGTTATTTAAAGAACGAACCAAGTTAACTTAACCAGTAGTATGGAATGTAGCTTCAAAACAAACTTTGTGTATTCTCCTTTTCAAATAAGACATACCTTAAGTTAGTAAACATTTTCAAGACTTCAATATTTTTTGCAAAACAAGTATTTTACTTAAGACTGCGCAGAGTAAAAAAAAACAGACCAAGAAAAAAACAAACAAAAAGAACAAAACAACAATAAACAATCATTCATAAAAAAAGCCAATACAACCCACAAAATCAATCGCTCTGTAAAGAAAGTGTTTGCCAACAGGCTATGATCTAAACGTCCAAGACTGATATCCTAAATCTAAGATAGGATTTATCGACTATGCTTAAGGTCTGTATAAGTATGACATTTCTCTGCTCCCTGATCCAGACTATCATATTGAGATTGGCTGAAAATAGACATGTGGAAGTTACTTGTAAATGTCATAGATGTGATAAAGTAGTTCGAGTTACAAAAATATAATGATTATGCTAACATTTTCCGCATGAAATTACAGTATTTTGTTAACAATTTGTATTGTAACACTGTATATCATTTGGTTGGTACTGATCTGTACGCAATGAGATAGTTACATCACTAGCTGCATTGTCAAGGTCAAGCATAAATTAAATATACTTAATACGACCCTGACATACATTTACAATAGACTTATGCTAAACTACAATGGAATAATTAGTTTCCTTGGTATCGGTCTCTGTTCCGCTTTGTAGGTGCTCGAACGTATCTCTAGGATAATAATTTCAAAAGTTCAATTGCAATCATGTTTTATGTTATCAGTTCTATAAATGTGTTCAAAGGGTGGATAAATATGATGATATATGCAGCAATGCAATATGGCCTCGGCCTGGTTTGGTCATTATTTCAAACTGATTTTTTTTCTTTTGAAAATATGACGTATAATAGAATCGCAATTTTTAATTCTAATCAAATCATTTTATATATTCTCAGTTTGAAATCATGTTTGAAAAGCATTGTGAAAGAAACCAGATCCATCTGTAATTCTGAAACAGATATATCTTACAGTGTTGATGCTGGTTCAGTAAATTCTGTTTCAGAAGACACTGTTGGCTGAGGTGGTTTTCGCTTCTTCCAACCTGTGTTATCAAATATAACATTTGGGTTTTAAAAAGTTTGAAAATATTAAATTGGTTCTGCGTTTATAATTATATAACCTTTAGAACGTGCAAAACACATTACGTTTGCAAATAATACCGTTCATAATGAATGGCATATACCAACTTTATGTGATAAAAAGAAATGTCACCACTTCATTGTTTTATATAAAAATGAATCATAAAAAAATAATACAAGCCTTCAAAACAAAACTTCGTTAAAAAGATCTAAAGTATATAGTATTCACAAAGGGTTTTAGGTATTATCGATAAATGTAAATGAATTTCAAACCATACTTCTTAGCTCATTAGAAATCTCATAAGAAATTATCTGTAAATTTAAAACACTAGTATAACAACAAACCGTTACTTTTTAAGAGTCCTTTTCTAGTAAGAAAAAACATTGTACAAATCACACCAATAAGACTTCCAACAGCTAATGCAGCAACCACAGACCCAACTATAGCTTCGACTCCTGCACCGTTTTTGTTTTTGCCTGCAATCATAAAAAATTCCGATCTACATATATTTGCACCTAGCAAAACTTCTTACATAGAAATATCTGGGAATAAATGATCACTCACATGCATGAAAATTGCATACTCGGTTTGATTGAGATTGTACATGAGGGATAATGAGAAAGTGCAACATCCCTCATGCCCCATAGCACCGGCTTGAGTATTCATAATAACCTGTTTTCTTTTTTTTTCAAGCGAAAACCCCGGTGTGTGTCACTTCTAAATTATTTAATTATTATTTAACATTTTACTGCATAGGCATATTGTGAAAAATGCTTGTTTTCATTGAAAAGTCTCCTGTTACAAGTTCAAATTGCTATGAAACTATGAAAAAATGATTCAATACTGTTCAAACGTGTCACAAATATTGACTGGCCTAACAGCATGCTCCATCTTAAATTTCCTGTCATCTCAAAGTTGACAAAAGTCACTATATTGCGTTGATTTTTTTCATCAAAACCGATAACAAAGTGCTGCAACTTTTCAATTGATTGAGATAGAGCCACAGGCTTTTCAGCGTTACGTCAAGATTGACCTTCAGCCATTTTTAGCCAAAAAATGTTTAGCCAATTCAAATAATAACCCCTTGACGTATCTTTTAAATCGGGGACAGCGCCGTAAATGGGATCACTTTTTCAAACAACATTTCTCAGGCAAAAAGTAGTGTTTGGGGCCAAAACGGGGCATTTTTTTTCACTATTTGAGGCCTACAGGGAGGGGGCTGGTGGTGATGTGAAAAGCCGTCTAACACGCCTATATGAGTTTAAAGGATAAAACAAATTTGATCAGAACTTTATTTGCAAACTGTTTATATGCATTAGATCCGGTTCCGCCTTTTGTCAAAACATATCCAATATATTTTTGATATTATTATCTGCCTAAGAAGCAGATAAAACTGTTTACAAAAACAGCTAATTGGAAAGCTTTATCGAATTTATTTAATGTTCGTGGCGTAATATGAAACAACAGCAAATGTCTCGATGTAAGCAACTAATTTTACATCATGACGACATGTATATCATTTGAACATGTACTAGCATGTAAAACTGGTGTTATACAATGTGTGCATAGTTATCTACAACTAATACTCAACTAATAATAAGTTTGAGACATAGTAACAGTTTGGAAGGATACAGTTCGATATAATTGTAATGTCAACTAAAATGACCCCTAAAAGTATAATTAACTAGAACAAAATATCGTATATATAGGGCAGAATTAGGACACCTTAAAAGTCCCAAACAACTTTGTTTATATTTTCACTGGTAGAAATAGACAAACATGTATTTCAATCCTGGTTAAAATAGAAAAAGTGAATCTTTATAATAGAAGTGACAGATTCAATGCATTTCTATTTTTAGTTCCAATGGAATCTGTTTGTCAGTGTGAGGGGATGTAGACAACTGCCAAACCGGAGTTGCTGTACCCACAAATTTCCCAGGCCAAGTCTCGGGACGAGACTCTTGGAGGGAAAAATAATGTAACGACGTTAGAAGAACGTCATAATACTCATTATGAGCATAACAGTATCGAAAATTTAAGGGTGGTGATTTAACATACAAGAAAGTACCCCATATATGAATGGGCACAAGCCACTCTCGGTGGTAAGCTAGCTTTTCACCGACAGGGTTTGAGTACCTTAAATCGTTACACTTCTAACCATCATGTCGCTGTTTTATTTTGTTTATAAAGGGTGAAGAAACTGTTTTAATAACTTTAAGTTAGATTACATATATTAACAGATAGGTGGTATTTGAGAAAAAAAAACATATCTAATTCGTTATGTTACCTTCAGTAATAAATTAGATAACGATTTTTATGCTGTAAAGCTCAAGTGACAACACTAGGTTCCAATGCTATCATTTAATGAAACATCATTCAAAAGCGAAACAAAAGAATGCTACACATCATTATCATTGTTGATACAGCAATAATGAAAGGAAGTAAGTTTAATTACAACTTTATCTTGTTATGTCACAAGTGTTTTCTTCTTAATTACAATTGCAAATTACATTACGACATGTAAGGTCAATTACATGACATATTGAAAGTGTTAAGGTAGACCATGGCTAATAAGCACTATAAGGAATTGTAAAATTGACAACATAGGACAGTAATATGCCTTAAAGGTCACCTGTATGCAAAATTTAAATAAAATTTACCGTGTGGTTTGTGAGTTATGGATACATTTCTGAGCTAAAACTTTGCTATTAGAAGGTCTCTTTTTCAGAAATGAGGAAACTCTTAAGAATCTATAATATCATCATAAAGAAAAGTGTTTTCCTATCGTTCATTGTTAAAAATTGCTTTTACATTTGGCATTATTCAGCAAATAAATACCTACCATAATTATGCAATTAAACTCAAACAATTTTTCGTCCATAAAGGATCTGAGAGATACATAAATTATGTTTAAAAGAAAACAAAAGAAGAAAAAATGCCCTTTCTGGGGTTAGAACCCACGCCCCACAATTTCAATGCAGTTGACAAGTGATACTAGCCTATTTGAATACCCTTCAAATTTGAGGTAATGCATTAGCAATGGTCTACCTTGACAAAGCTTCTCTTTTATTTAGTCTCGTTAAAGGCAACATAAGTATAAAAAATCACTAATATAAACAAACAAATCAATGCTAGAAAATTTACGTTTTTACCTTTTGTACAAGTATTATCACCTGTCTCTAAACCATCTTGGTTAGCTGCAATAAAACAATTAAAACAGAACACTTTACATATACAGAACAGCTTGTAAAATTATGTTTATATTAACAAACATTTTGCTTGCTTCTATGTGTTCTTGTGTTTCTTATTCGGTGCCTTGTCATATTATGATAATACTATAAGTGACAGTTTGTGGTTATACGTGAAATTGACTTGATACTGATAATAATTTTATGTGTGCTTTGGTTTTCTTTAGGTCTGCAACTGACACCATTCTGAGTGACAATTTAAATTTATTTATTTTAATGTTTGAAACTACAATGTTTAGAGCTTATGTATCTAGCATGTAACACTGCCTTAGTGGACTTTACAAGGCCATGCCACGCCCCATTGGTTTAATAATGGCCCCGCTCCAGGGGTCACTTGATTTATATAAACTTATATAGGAAAGGCACATCTGAGACTGATTGTGTGAAGGTCGATACAAGCTATAAATGTTATTGACACTTCTAGTTATAAAACGGAAATGAAATTCAATCTTGATAAATAGAAGTAATTGTTTTCCGTGTAAATGGTCCTTTACGTAATTATGAGAAATATACTTCCTAGGTTTAAGCTTAAGTAAGGAATCTAGGGCTCATTTAATCATCAATTATCATGGACTAATGCTCAGGAAAAAATGGCATCTCAAGCCCAAAAGTAATCTTATCGTTAAATGTGTTCAACAGCCTCCCGGGTATTTTTAGCTTTGAATTGTTGATCATATGATTAAACCTATTTTATGCTATGCATTACAAATATGAGATTGAGAATATAGTCAAAATATTTACATATGTACATAATTTTTTTCAGAAAATATTTATTTGTAAAAATAACAAATACTGCTATGGTTTTAGATGAATGGGGTAGATTTGTTCTTAAGTTTTTCGTATATGACAAATTGCACACGCTGTTTGATGTTGAAGTCACGAGACGAAGTAGGTCATCTATGTTTGGTTTGTACTGTTTAAGTATGCTTTTGTCTTTGTCAAGATATATCAGAATATTGGTGACATAAATATGTAAGCAAATTGATATTTGTACTCATCAATAGCATGAACAATGGCAAATTCTAGTCGGTTTTTTCACTATAACAAAGGTTCAATCACCTTTAAATGTAGAACGCTACCTATTAATAGAATGACCATTTAAACAAGAAAAGTCGTTTTGCATTTTTTGATGTTCCAACAACACGTTAGGCATAAAAATAGGCACCGAGAGAAGAACGTTTGTGTAAAAACTTGTCAAGATAACGTAGATTGTGAGTCCCATACTTTCTTTATACATAAATATAAAAATATGAGCGTATTCGCGATAATTGTCTATTTGGGAAAAAGAATCACATGACTTTTACGTATACGTAAGTACTCGTGATATGACTACATTACGAAAATTTGTGTTTTATGTAAAACTATATGAGCCGCGTCATGACAAAACCAACATGGACCAGCCTGCGCATCCTGATCAGGATCCATGCTGTTCGCTTACCAATTTCTATAACAAGTAGAGAAACTGATAGCCAACAGCATGGATCTTGATCAGACTGCGTGGATACGTACGGTCTGATACGGAGAAGAACGTATTGATACGGAGTAGAACCAATTGCCACGGATCTAATACATCCGTCCACAACCTCTTGCTTGCTCATTTTCAAAATGCCTCAAAAGAAAAGAACACCTAGAAAACGAATTGCAAAGTTCAATGATTTTGGCGGAGAGGATTCAGCCTAATCGCGTCCGAACCCCGAGACACATCAGATCCAATTAAAGTGAATTTCTTGAAGCACGCTGGATGCTCAAAAAGTTCAGCTTTGAGAGCCTCATTCTAAGCATGAAGCAGTCTTCGTAAAAGCCCATCTCTAGTCCACCATCTCGTCTGTCTTCTCTTACCTGATTAGATATGGACTAGTAATCATTAATGAAAATGTTGATCAATACTGCTTCTCTTTTAATTTTAAGATTTCCATTCATCTTACAATTACATTAATTATCGTGATGTTTATGTTTTAAAAATATGTAAAAAGCTTGTTAATTAATCTTAATATCACTCAGTGACCAGTGTCCGAGGCTTATGAGACACTTCGTTTTATGTACATATTTACTCCATTTTCACGATCTAATGTTTGTAAAATATGTAACTGTTTACATTAAATGTTATTTTATTACTTATGAATTGTAGTACGGTATTAATACATTTTAACCTCTATGCATGTCATGAAGCAGCTCGACCACTGCCTCCGCATTCTGAGCCATTTGAATATAAAGTTGCAGCCACTAAATGGCAATTATCATTTATAAAATGTTCCTGCAAACATATAATATTATGTCTGTTTTAACAAGAAGGTAGTATTTATACCCTTGAAAAAGTACATGGTACTTAATTCATCCGTACTAAACAGTGGTGGGCCGTACCATTCCGTACCGTTTCGTGTTGCAACGCAATAAACCGTATGAGACCGTGCTAATCCTTGCCTCTCCGTAGTACAACGTATTACAATCGTGGCTTTCCGTGACAATGCCGTATTAATCCGTATTAAAACCGTAGCATTTACGTAAGGTAACCGTACAAATACGTAGTTCTCCGTACCAAACCGTGGAAATCCTTGACAAGTTGGTGGACTACGAATCAGTACGGACTTTTACGGTTTTCGTACGGACCAGTACGTATCAGTACGGATTAATACGGACTAGTAGGGATACACTACGGTTGATTTTTCCGTAGCAAATTTTTTTGCATGTTCAAAAAATTGTCAAGGATCGCTACGGATATACAAGGACTACTACGATTGATTACGGTTACAATACGGAGAGCTTCTGACCAGTACCTGTAGCTACGGACGATGCCGGAATTAATCCGTGGCTCTTCCGTGGGTGTATTCCGTGAATATGTGACCGGGGTATTATTATTATTTACTACTTGAAGCTACTTTTGTTAAACACCACCATTGTTTATATTTATTCGACAATATAAACACAGTTTTAGAAAACATAATATCATGTTTAAATACAATATCGTGACTTCATTACATCAAGCTATTGAAAGAGCATCGAGACACGTTTTGTGCGAAATCAGATAGCCGAGTGATGTGATGTTCTTTTTCTTTTGTATCATAGGAAAAAGTAAAAACACATCCCCTCCCGTCACAAACCTCTTAGATACATGTATGTAACCAACATACCAGCCAAAAAAGACATGCTCAATTGTTTCCCCGACAGACAGTGCGGTAATTGGAGTGCGGACAACTAATACCTACATCCCTGATATCACACTGTGCATGTATGAGTTTATTTTTCAACTCTGACACATTTTCAATAGAAAGGTGTTCAAACTATGGTACAATATATTGTCATATGAAATAAAAAGAAATATGCATGCACATACTTTACTGCAAAACAGCTTAATCTTAATCGGGTAATATAAACTGAATAAGTAAAGTAGAAATTTAAAAAAAACTTACACAGATATTTAACTTGTTTTGGCGGTGAACATTTCCGCGAAATTTTGTACCATTCATTATATCGACAGCACGTGATGTTTTCTTTGTTCCATTCTTTCTTGAATGAAGTCAGCGTGATAATATTAGTATGTAAAGATGAAGTCGAATTATAAAAATGAGTTTTTGCAGACGATATTTCCGATCCGGAAATGTTGAAATATACATTCGGATTAGGTCTTCCACCATCTAGCATGCACGTGATATTAAAAGCTTCACCGTCTCTTAGAATTTCCTTCATCGCAAATTGAAACGTTGGTGGTTCTGAAGATAAAGAAATATATTTGATTATATCTTCAAATTTAGTTAATTAAATCGTAAGCACTTTAAAAAATTTCATTTCAATTATTTTCAAAAATGACATCACATATCGATATCACATTTGTTTTTTGTTTGTTTTTTTATATTTTGTCCTGTGAGAATTTTATAAATTATATATTAATTGCGTATTTTGAGGTCTACATGTTCTATGTTTAATCATATCCCAAAATATATGTCACTTAACACTCATTAATAAGACTGGTATACCTACTTATAACAAAAATCGTAGCAGTGGCGTTTACAGGTGACGACATTGCATCGTCCATAACTGAAAACATCATTTGTTTCATATGATGATGATCCTTAATAGTACAAAACGCAATATACGTCGTTGAATTGAACTTTAGATGAGGATATGATTCATTTCCTATTGTCATGGTCACGGTTATAGGACGGGAACCACCATGTATCTCACAGGGTATTTTTAATATCTCATTTTCCTCCCCAACAATACAGCCCCTGCAACTTTCTACGTCTTGTAAACCAAGTATTACAGGTACACTTTTTGGTTCTGAAAATGTGCATAAACGAAAAGTAACTACAGAGAAATTTAGTGATTGCTTCCAGTATTGATAATAATATTGTTATCATTTTTATGGTATTATAATGTTTGAAAGTTCCTTCTTACTTCACATTGAAACCTTTTACAAAAATTCATAAATATACAGAAAGTTGTTTGTGCTAGACAAAGATTAGAGCTTCATTTAACGTGAAGTGAAAGCGTGTATCTTTTTTTATAAATCAATGTTACCTTTGAGACTTTTCATCATTATGAGTTTTTAATGCAAATTGTATATTTAACTTATTTTCTAATGACCCAAAGAAATTTAGAAACAAAAACAAACCTGGTAATTGTGTAGTTATAACATTTGCGTAGTTCAACATATAACCGCAATTAAACTATTTTTTCCTTAACGAACACTGAAATGAAATGGTAAACATTTTTATTTTTTAAAATTTTTAAATTTTTATAAATATCGAGTTCTTTTGCTTTTTTTGTTTTATTGTTAATTAAATTAATTTAACCCCCTTACGTGCGATTTTTTAAAAAAAACATGATTGCGAAAAATTTCAAAATAACTTTTTTTTCAATACTTTATATTTGATTTTTAAATTTACACACCCGGGCAAAAGAAAATCAAAAAAAATCGCCTGTTAAAAAAAACTACACTTCAATACAAATTTATTTACAAATTTCTTCATAAAAACCCAAATTTTATAAAAGGTTTAAAAAAAAAATTTCTCTTTAAATTTTTAAAATTAAGTATCTTAAATTTAATTTTATTTTTTTTTTTTTGGGGGGGCTGAAAAAAAAAACAACCAAATTATCTAAATTTTTTACATCTTATAAAGGAATTTAAATCCCCTAGTTAAAAAAATTATTAAAAAAGTTAAAGGTTACTTTTAATCCGAGAAAAATAATAGTAAAAAATTTCGCAAAAATTCTATAAAAGTTTGAATAAAATATTGAATTTTAATCAATTTTTTTTTATTTAATTTGAAAATACCGACTTTAAAATTTCAAAAAACTCAATCCCCATTTATTGAGAATTAAAAATCCTTTTAAAGGGTTTTTTTTTTTTTATTTTTTAATTCAACATTCCTACAGGTTAAATTCCCCGTTGGGCAAAAGGTTTTAAAAGTTTCGAATTCATTAATTTTTTGTTTAATAATGTTCATTAACTTTTAAAAACTTTTATCTAAAAAATTAAATTTAAATAAGGGTTTGAAGAAAAAATTTTTAAAAAAATGATACAATCCCTTCAAATAAGTTTTTCAGTAAGAATTATTGTTCATTAAATAATGCACTAAAAAAATCGTCATTTTTTTCACTGTATTTAAAAAAAAATTTTTTCCCCTGGTTGAAATTGTATTTAAAGATTTTCCTTGTTTTCCATTTCATTGGGGTTCTAAAATTTCTATTATTTCTAAAGAAAATGATTTTTCAGAGGGTGGTTTGTAATTTTTAAATAGCCCTAAGAAATTTTTCCCCAAAAAATAAAATGCTTTTTTAGTTAGAAATAAAATTTTTGTAAAAATTTTTTTTTAAAAAAAATTGAAAATTATCCGGGGAAATAAAAATAAATTTTAAATTAAAACCATTATTTTTATTTTTTGGAGTAAAAAATTTTATTAAAAAAATTTTTTTAACATTAATAAGAAACTAAAAATAAATATTTTTTACATGCTTTGGGTGGGTTTATTGAAAATATCAGTGATTTTAAAAATGAAATTTCCTTTTAAAAAAGTAAATTCCATTTTTGAAAATTCCTGTTTTTGAATTTCCCCTAGTGTTTTAGTAAAAAAGGGGCCAAAAATGTACCAATTTATGCTGCGCAAAATGATCACGGATTATATTTGGGGGTTTTTCTTCCAGTATTGTTTTTGTTTTTTAAAAAAACTTTTTTTCATTAAAATATAAAAAAATTTTTTTTAGTTTATTTAAATCGGAATTATTTCACTTTGACACCAAAAAATTAAATATTCACTTTCCCATTGGGGAAAAAACCCTTTTCATCTAAAAAATATTTTCCGTTTAAATAAACTAAAAAATACCTTATATTAATATTTCTTACCACATTTATTGATACCACACAGTCCAAAAGTTCGAGATGTTGATGTAAAACACCAGAGTTTGTTATAGGTAGTTGGAGCACGGCAGAAATTAGCTGCATCTGACTTTTTGGCATCAGGAAAGTCACTATTATTGTACATATGAAACTGATCCCATCGTAAACACGGTTTTCCGGTAACAGTCGTCTGCTGATGACCGTCGTACTCCCACAGTTTAGATGTGTTATAACAGTCCACTACAACTCCTGTAGCGTAGAGAAATAAAGGTATAAAATTATGCAAGATTAAGAAATTGCTTCATATGTGAAAAAAAATGAAAAGTCTAGATTTTGCAAATTTTTTAAAACCGAAAAAAAATCCAGAACCAAAATTTTTATAAAAACTTTTAGATAGCATGCTTTAAAATATGTAAAAAATTGAATTAAATGTCAATCATACCGTTGCTGATCTGTGTTTATAATATAAATTCAATTTCTATTGATAGTGACAAATTGCAAAGTATGAAAAAGGCAACACAATATATATTTTTCTAGTTAATATTCAATAAAATATTTTCATAAATAATGTGGAGCTTATCTAGTCGTCGGGTAGATACAATTGATGTTTCAAGAACTATTGCTTGGTAATATTGACCTGAGACATTTGAACAATCAATGACCTTTTGTCGGTTATTGTCGGATTCCGAAGGAAATCATATGGATAAAAGTATGGCATAACGATATACATGGTATATGTTTAACTTAAAGTTATCGACACGCACGTACCTAACCAGCCTCAGTGACTTCTAGTTTCAAATTGTAAGTTGAAGGTTCGAATCTAAATGAAACTTTATAAGATCGTTAAGCACGACATTATTGTTGTGTATACTTATGGTATTTTTAGTTTCTTATATTTGGCTTTTTTAAACTTGGGTGGTTCCAGTATTCCTACTTGAATACTGTATAATCACCTTTAGGATATGTTGCCTGCTTTTTAAATTTGTCTCTTTACGTCTTGTCTGTGATATGCAGGCTTCATAACCTCAGATCCCCTTCTAAAATTCCATTTTATTTAGTTTCGCCCATTGTTTTCTCGTTTAGGGCACACGCATATTTTTAATTGTGAACCATACGCCGCTTTTCATGGAATGACACTTCTGTGTCACATTGAATGTTCCATGATAACCGCCGTATGAACACATCAGCGAATGTTTCTAAATTCAAAATTTCACCATTTTTGTGTTTAAATATTGAATTCTGCTTAAGTCGGTGCTAGGGGGCGTGGGCGATAGTTTGCACTTAACAGTACCGTCCATGAACAGGCTCAATCAAACCGAGCCTGCAACATTTTCAATTATGCCGTGTTGGGCTTTCTTTAGGGATCTTTTAAGAATCTAGAACTTTTCTATCATTTAAAATCAATAAGTAAATCGTGATAAATTACGAAAACTAACGAATCCATGAGTCAATATTGCCAAACAATACATCTTTAGGTTCGTACAATCGGCTTCTTTAGTGATTTCGTTGATGTGTATTGTATTTATAGACAATGTATAAAATTTTCTTTGTAGTTTCATTTCATTTAAAATTATATAAATGCGCACATAGAGAAAACTTCCGCAATTATTAAACATTTCGCTATGCTTGGGTATAATTTATTAAGTAATTGAGTTATGTAATAGATGACATTGTAAATGACTTAGTGATATATTAAAAACCTGTGTTTTCCTTAACATTGTTTTATCAATCTAAACATGTTTTTTTTTGTTATTTAAAACGAACACAATAAAGATTATCGGTATGTCGCTGCAGGTTAAAACCCCGACGTACAAGAAGACCAGTATTTCAAATCAACGAATCTGAACGTAAATAATAAATTAAATAATAAATTGTCCTTGAACAATTTCAAAAATCTTTATGAATATAACGCTTCAATAGCAGGTTTTTTATTTGCCCTTCAAAAGATCACGCCATGTGCTTACGTGCTGTCATACATAACTATGCAAGAACTGGCTGTTTAACGTTATGTTTAATTCATGTCATTAGCTGTCAACATTCCAGCTATTTTGCCGAACAAAGACAACAGAACACTCTTAACGCTAAAATTATTTGACACGAGTGAATTTAGTGAGTTATTATCTACAGTTTTCAAAACGATTTTTATAATAAATCTTTAAACCTTTAAAATGTAAACATAATTGAAAAAAAGCTCATTGCTTTTATAAAATTTCTGACGATAAAAGGTTAAAATTTCACAACTAAAAGGTTAAACTTTTCAACAAAAAAACAACAACAAAAAAAAACATTACTCTAAATCTTGTAAAGAATTGTGCCTCAAATAATTAAAAGGTTATGAAAATGCTAATTTACAGTGTGACATGCCAGATTGCTTAATATCCAATGTGAACTTCGCTCATTGGTACCATATACGAGAGAGAATAGGCATAACGCTGTACTATTTTTGTTTCGGTGTTGAATCTGGACAATTTTACATATACTATTGTGATGTTTTCTGTGGAATCTGAAGCACCTTGTTTGTGATCGGCGATGAACTTTAACCATAATTGAACAACAGTATCAAAACAGGACATGCCGAATTGTTGATACTTCTACGAAAAGAAAAAAACATAGTTGGTTGACAGATCTTAGCATGCTTTATATATATATATATATGTCAAAGATGAATAAGAACTCAACTAAAAAACAAACCTTTTGCGGACGTATTCACTGTTGCTAATATGACAAAAGAAATTGTGCACAAATTGCAGATAATCCTTGACATTTTAGAACTGGTCTCAATAGTAATCATTATCATTGCTTATAACTACTTGTCAGTTTGATTTGATATACATTGTAATTTCTTTCAAGGTTACAATGATTTAACAACCGTATCGCGATATAGAGTACTTTGTCCGATCATCGCCTCATATTATATAGATGTATAAATATAATTTTATAAAGAGTGTTACAAACACTTGTTGCAGTGTTTCCGCTGAATTGTCATCACATACATAATAAAAAACTTCCTCAATTATTGTTTAGTTTTGTTTTCGTTACATTCATTACTATAAAGAAAGAAGTTTCCACTGTTTAGATGATGACTTGTTTATTCTTTAAGTGAATGGTAGTTAGACTTCGTACGTTTATTAAGATATGAGCCACGTCATGACAAAACCAACATAATGGGTTTGCGACCAGCATGGATCCAGA